TTTTTTTTTTGTTTATTGAATCTTCTATATAACCTTCGGCAACTTGACTGGATTTCCAACCACCATTGTGTTTGASCATTGTAATATCACCTCCAGAATCGGCAAGTAATGTTGCTGAAGTTCGGCGGAAAGAATGACCTGTATAAGCTTGGGGATCTGGTAAATTTAAATAATTTGCAATTTCTTTRGGAATATTTCCAATTTTGTTTTTTCCAATAACCTGCTTGGTGCATTTACCGTTTTTATAATTTAAAAAAAATCTATCTGACAGTACATTTGCGGGTCTTAAATCTATGTATTTCTTTAAAATATCATAAAACTCTACTTCAATAGTAAAAGACCGTGAACAATTTGTTTTTGTGTAAGGAAGTTTAGTATGTAACATTGAACCAAAATCTTGTACATCATTTATAGTAATATTACTAAGTTCTTCTCTTCTACATGCGCCAGTTATCCCAAAAATCAATACTACCTATATCATAATAAATTTACGGAATATTAATAGAAAACCTATATTAAACAATGTTATCACGCTTACTTTAGTTACTAAGTATTGAATATTAGTAGCTTCGTCTATGAATTTTTTTATATCAGTTAAAGTCAAAACTTTGGACTTCTTACTTTTAAATCCAGTCGATTTTCTCTTTAAAAAAGCTTGTAATTTTGGATAAGTACCAATGTTAATATTATGTTTCATATTTATAGTGGTTTTAAGCATTGAATAAACAGACAGACCATAAAGTTGACGGTTTAATTTCTTTAGATAAATTACTAAAATATGTAAGCAACACATTTCTGACCACGATTTGGTTTTATTTTTTTTTTCCATTTTAAAATTTTTTCATAAGCCAATATATATCTTTCTTTTGATTTTTCAGGCAATAGATTTAGTGAAACGGCGTTTGCCGTTTCAACCATGTGTGGTGGAGTTAATGGTTCACTACAACTGCTATGTTGACTGTCATCATTCGTATTTATGCTCATTATTTAACTTGAATTATTATACAAATTGCGTGAAATAAACTTACTAACGCATCGTTCAACGCACTTATCTAGGAACAGTGCAAATTAAATATGTTTAAATGTTTATGCGTCATGCAAGGAGGTTATACTWTACATTTAAGATGTAACCAAAAGTTTATGTTATGTAAGAACCGTGGTAGGTATACGTTTTAGTTTCTGGTTGTGCAGGGGATACGCGCCCGGCGGCCGGCACTTTTGGGGATTTCTTCTTTTCCGCCCGGCACTTTTGGGGATTTCCTCTATTCCGCCCGGCACTTTTGGGGATTTCCTCTTTTCCACTCGGCACTTTTGGGGATTTCCTCTTTTCCGCCCGRCACTTTGGGGATTTTCACTTTACCGCCCGCTGGACGGAAAAAGGACGCTTTCGAACGCTTCAACCGTGGTCGAAAACCAAACTTTCGGTGCAGGCGTGACAAAAAATGTTATTATGATTTCATGATGAGCTGACGATTTATTTTTCAAAAATATTTTTACTTATTTGAATAC